ATAAATCATATTTATTGCTATGTTGAAATTTGTTACAAGAGTATTATGTTAAATTTTTTGTTTTGAATTTATTACTTATGTTATATTTTCAGTTTCATTTGTTTTAGCAATATTGAATTTACATTGCACGTCATTTTTTAATTAGACTTGATAGATTATATTTTTTGTCAAACAGTTAATAATTTATGATATTTTATTTATATATTACTATTCATTTTATCAAACATGCATTTCACAATGTTCATAGAAACTTCATACTTTTAGTTGTTACGATCAATTCAATTGAAATATATTAATTTGAAAAAATATAAATCAATAATTTTTTCATAATATTAGTTACAGTAAATATGTTTATTAATTAATATATTTTCAAAAAAGAATATATATCTTAAATATTTAATTTAATGTCATTTATAAAATTTCTTATTTGTCTAGTATAACTTTTAAATAATTAATTTTTATTTTAAAATTTATTATAATTTTATGATTGCAATTGTACATCCAAACAGAACATATGTAATTACACTGTGGCATCCAAACAGGACATGTGTAATTACACTGTAGCAACCAAACAGGTCAGTGTAATTACTAGACTGTGTAATTACTAGGCTGGTAATTACTACCCTAGTAATTACACCAATTCCAATTACCTGGTGGCTTTCCAAACAGACCCTTAATGAGTCCAATTTGTATAGTTTATCACTTTTTTTAGTTTTTCAGTCTGTGTTTGATATCAACATTAGATTTCGATTAAATTTGAATTCACACTGAAAAACTTCAAATTGAAGATAAAATGCTCCTTAACGATATCCAAGGGAACTCTAATCTGAGACTCTGAGACCTTTTGATTGATAATTAAGTACTTGTCACAATGAAAAGTCTCAAATAATATTGGGCCATCTGATGTAATCCCAATGTAGAAATTAGTTAACAGACTTTTAGGCTTTGCTTTGCTCTTTTGCAGATTTTGTGTTAGAGGAAATTTCTTAAGTAGTCACAAAAAATAATTTAATTAGACTATATAGTTATAGTTCTAATTACGATTCGTAGCTACATATTAGAGTGAGGAAAAAGACAAGAGAGATTGGGAGAGGGAGGAAAGAGGCGACTGAGAGAGGGCAGAGAGTAGAGAATTGTATTTGTATATTTGTCGAATTATATATGTATATCTGTCAGATAATTGTTTATATATAATTGGTATACATATGTATTTGTATATCTGGCGAGCGAGATTGAGAGAAAGAGAGGAAATAGGCGAGCGAGATTGGGAGAGGCGAGTGAGATAGGGAGAGTCAAGAGAGAAGCGAGCGAGAGTGGAGAGAGGCGAATTGTATTTGTATATTTGTCATATAATTGTATATGTATAATTTGCATTTTGTTTTGTGTAGTTTGTATTTGTATATAAGAGATGAGAGAGGCACATGTAATTAGAGCTAAAAAGAGGTTGCGCGTGGTAATTAATTCAAACTAATTAAATAGTATAAGTTTGTTTATACGAGTAATTTCGTTATGGCTAATTAGAGAGAATATTAGTGTCAAAACTATAACTAGCTATTGGGTTGCGTATCAATCTATTCGGTATTAAAGTTTATTGGTTTGACTTATCAATTTATAGATATGTTAAACCAATATCGAATCATTAGGATATTAACTTATCGGTTATTGATCGTTATCGATTCAACTGCTGATTTAATCATTAAGATTTAACATTTAAAATCACTTTAAAATAAGATGACAAACCAAATGAATCATGCACATGAGTTGATAGATTGCATCTTGCTAAAAAACAAACACCATCACATCGAAGAATAGCCAAAAGTTTGAGACACTTAGAAGTAAATAGATGAACTTTAAAACAAGGATTATAAACCAAATGATATAATATTATTATTTAATTTAATATCAGGTTATCGATTAACTCGTCAAAAAGAAACCTCAAACCATTAAGAACTGAAAACTCAATAAAAAGATCAAAACCCTTACTAAAATCACTAAAACAATAACTCATGATCAATAAACCAATAACTTTTTTTGATTCGAACTATTGATTTTGGTTCAATTTTGAACGGACCCTAACTAGCTAGCAATCTCATTCTTTTTTTTTTATAAACAAATTGGGGGTGAGTGGGAGGGAGGGGAAATGTGGAGAAATTATAACGTAGGAATCAAACAAACAATAGAGGAACTCGGATAATCAACCAACTAAACTATTAAAATTCTCCTAGCAATCTCATTCTTCTTTTATAGATAAAACAAATTGAAATACAGACTCTTAAAATACAGGTTGAATTATATCAGACTAACAAATTGAAACAAAGAGGATGTCAGGTACATATCATCACAAAGAAACTAAACAAGTAGCAACTCAAAAGAAAATTACAAAAATAGTTAGAGTTACTATTCTTGATTTTACAACTTATCATCAATCCATTGATTCAAAGGTGGGAGTTCAAGTAAGTAATCAATGCGGACGCGATCAACAACGCGTTACGCTGGCTCTTCACAACCGATTTCTGGTGCTGCATCAGTTTCGTGGGATATAAAGGGAATACACAAAAAACATAAAGATAAAACAAAGTCATAAGTAATAGTAAAACAACTCAAACAAGAATAACAAGTTATGGGCAATTTAGAAATAACTAAATTAGTACCTTCCTGGATATATACAAGAACCATGACCTGCAACACGAAAATAAATATTAAGTATCAATAATAATGCAAATCACAACATTGTCCTTGAAACATCAGCCAGAAGAGTCGTGAAGATAGAGAGGTTGTTTCCAATAGACCCTAGCTCGGAAGCATGTAATGTCAGCAAATTCATGTAACATATTGAGCATTTTCCCCAAAAAACAGAGTTTTGACAATAGGTTCGGGTTGTAGTGTTATTTGCCAACACCGTTTCCGATCCTGTCAAGTGCATTATATAAATTGATTGAAATAAGAACAACGAATAATAATAATGAAGGTATGTAAATTTTACAATTTGAGATGATCTACAAGCCACAACAGTCATGGCCAACAACAACAACATACTCTAATCCTCAGGTGTGGGTAGATCAAACTCAAACTTTATCCTTAACTTGAGAAAGTAGAGAGGTTGTTTTCGATAAATCTTTGGCTTAAAGAACAATAAAAAGAGGCAAAAAGTGTATTTCTTTAGAGAAAATCATAGACAAAAGTATTCCTATTTTGCCTCTTTTACAACACTGGCTTGAACTTCAAACATTGAGCTCCATTTTGTCAAAATTAAGTGCTTTTTATTTTTGTCAAAAAAAAAACGACGACAACATACACAATGTAATCTCACAAGTAAGGTTTAAAAAGGATACAATGTGTGCAAACATTGGTAGAGATGTTTCTGGTAGACACTCGGCTCAAAAAAGAAATGTAAACATACAAGAAAATTAACCAGTAATGTCTTAAAATTCTTATCAAAACCTAGAAATCACAATACAAAAAATTACACTAGACAATAGACACCAAAATATCAAAAGTTACACCTCAAAAAGCTTCAAACTCCTAAAAAATACACTAAAAATTTGTCACTCCTGACAAATTTAAGGATCAAAACTACTGAATAATATATCTAAGACACTAGCTTGAACAAGTCCCAAAACAAGATTTATTTATTTTTGTGTTTTTTTCTCTAAATCTTTGCAAACAAAACTCACTCCAAAACATCTCCCCCTCAAATTATCATTTCCATATTTGATATCATGGTATGGATAAATATATTAGTTGTTTAATAATGAGATTACAAATTATTTCTTAATAATTAATTTTTGTCAAATTTGCTGGTCAAATAATTATGACCTAAGTTTATCAGACATAATTAAATTCAGAGTTTGGCTTGAAGCATGACTTCTGAAAAATCTGATTTAGAGGCAAGACGTCGAGAGAGTTTTTATCTATGGATATAATTTATGTCATTAAATTTAGGAAAAATCACGCGATTAAGTAAATTTATACCACTTAAATAATCATCACAACTATAGTTTGCTATAATTATCCCTCGCAACTAACATTAACCATTAATTACGTAGGCTAACTTCGAATTTGTATAATTAGCCACGTTTGTATAATTCGCCACGTTTTTTATAATTCACAACTAACAATTCTTCATTTGATTTGTATTTGTATATGACGATGATTTCCTTTGATTTTTCAATTTTATCACCATATAAATTCAATCTTTTTGTGTATAATTTTTTAAAGTTTATATAAACATGTAGTTTTCAAATTTTGTATAATATAATTTATATAAGATACTTTGTATAATATAATTTGTATAATTGTTTAAAGTTCATATATTTATGTTTGTACCAATTCATTATTTCGAGTTTTATCAGATTTGTATAACTCCAGACTTTATATTACTCAATTATATAAAAAACACACAAATTATACAAACGTACCCACGAATTATACAAACGAAATGCGAATTATACAAATTATTGTCATCTCTCGCTCGCCTCTCTCCTCCCTCTCCCAATCTCTCACTCGCCACTCTCCTCCCTATAGCTATGAAACGTAATTAGCAAAGTATAGTTATGAAGCGTAATAGCTATTTACGAGTGACTATACGTGAAAATTCCCCAATTTATGTCTGAACTTATGTCTTTAGACCTGATTTAGGCCGTTGAACTTCTCTTTTGAGAAGCAACTGGTATCTTAAGCTTAACTTGTGTTATCGAAGTTATGCACGAAAATGTAAATCAAACTATAATGCGAATATCAATTATCGAACGAATAAGAGGAATTCGTACCTTCAATAAACCATTCGTACCCTCAATAAACAAAAAATCTACCTAACAATTCCAATACTACGCCTTAAACCACTCTACCATCTCTCCAATCCATTCTAACTCGAACAATTTTCCTAGAGGTAACAAATCCGCCTAGACACTTTCTTAAAATTTGTGACAAATAAATAGAAACATTACCATACATACATGCTACGTGCATATCATTATATCCAAAAAAAAGAAGAAGAGATTACCGATAAACTCCATACTCATAAAACTTTGCAATCCATTACAAAGGAAACCAAACAAGAAATACTCAAAAACATAATATAAAACACAACTACTTAATTTAACTTATATTTTATCATTTGAATTATTATTCCTGATTCTTCAACTTTTCAACCCGTTGATTCAATAGTTCAACTCGAGTAACCAACCTAGTCACAGAATAAAGCAACCAATAAAACATCAACGCGGACGCGATTAACAGCGCGTTACGCTGGCTCTTCACAATTGATTTCTGATGCCTCATCAGTTCCGTGGGAGTACAAGACTCGGCCGATTTACACCTCGGCCGAGTCTCGTACTTCCAATAAATATCCAACAACAAGAACAAACAAAACGGAACTACAGAAAGAAACGGTTTGAGGAGATTTCGGGTTACAGATATTAAACCTTTACGTAAAGGGTATGTGCCCGGAAGAGTCAAAAGTATTACCATAACTGCTTCTGCTGCTGCAGCGTACCCTAGAATTACCCATTCTAATGCCATAGCTATTTAATTTTGCTCTTTTTTTTTTGGATAAAATAAATGATTGAAGATTGTGATTTTTTGTGAGTATAATTTGAATTTATTTTTTGGGGGGTTTAAAGGGGAAGTGGTTGAGGATTTGGTGATATGACGTGGCAAGGGAGAAAAGTGACACGTGGAATGGTTATGCACACGTTCTGTATACAGATGGCAGGTTTTGGTAAAGCTTTGTTATGTATACCCGTTCTATATTTTGGTTAGGCATATCATTTGGTACCATGTTATCCAACTTTGACCATGCGCATGTTGTCACTTAAATTTGTATAGAATTTTACGAGTAGAAACTCACAATCTATTTAGCTTTTTATGTAGTAATTCAGGTCCTATGTGGCATCATATGTAGTTTTTTACTTGTATTAGATCATGTTAGACGGATGCGTCTCCTTATTCAACCTTATACATGTTTTAGTATTGTCTACTTGTGCACATTCCAAAGTTGAAGAGCATAGATGCAGTTGAGACTAAATTAAAGGATATAAGTGTGTTAGGCCTATTGTTTATATATATAATGAATAACTGATAAATTGAAGTTACAGAAATTCTATAACAGTTTAGCATATTTGTAAACTAACAAGTTAAATTGATAAATTTCAAAATTAAACCGAATCAATTGATACTTAGCCCTAAAACAAACTGATAACACCACTTGATATTCACCTAAACAGTTAACATTCTAAACCTTTTGAGTTATGCACCTAATATATAATTAAAGAGCGTTTAGAGATTAACTTACTGATGCAAACTTCATACACACACAAAAAAAATAAAATATAAAGGTTTAATACATAATCATGATTAATAATTTAATCTTATTGAAATTATGCATTAGTAAGCGATTTCAACAAAGATAGAAACATCTTACTTAAATTTTATAAAGGTCTGGTGTGAGGCGAGGCGTTATAATTACTTCTATAGGATTTACCTTACGCATAGTCATGCCAGGTCCCTCTTTCATATCCAAAGGCTCATCCGATGGAGTTTTATAATCGAAACCTTGAATCAAATGACCTATTGTTAGGTACTCCACTTGCAACGCATAGGTCATTCCAGGACAAGATCGTCTTCCAGAACCAAATGGAATGAACTCATAATCTTGACCACGAAAATCAATATCAGTAGTGAAGAATCTATCTGGATTGAATTGATCGGGATTTGACCATATTTTAAGATCTCGTTGTAGTTTCATGACATTTGTGTATAGTCTAGTACCTTTAGGTATGTGATAACCACTAACAACACAATCCTCTGTGTTTTCATGTGGTACTAACAAAGGCCCTGGTGGATATAATCGTAACACCTCCTTAATGATAGCTTGAAGGTACACCAAATCCTTAATATCATTGTCATCTATCCATCTATCCTTACCAATTTTCATGTCGATTTCTTCTTGAGCTTTCTTCAAAACATGTTGATTATTTATCAGTAATGTCATTCCCCAGTTTATATGAAGAGAAACCGTGTCTGCTGCATCCAAGACCAAACTCTAGAAATTTTTTAGAAGAGTTAAAACTTTACTCCATTCAAGACCCCTCTATTATAATTGAAGGAGTACATTTTGTTATGCGAGTTTTTAAATTGTAAATCAAACACTGCATCAATTTTATACATAAATCATTTTTCTCCTAACCCTTTATCAAATGTAGTATAATTACGTAGAATGTAATACCTACCTAACTCACCTCTAAATCAGTTATCAAATAGCCGTAGCTAGTTAGGGAGGGGCATTCACATGTCAACGCTTAGGGGCTTAGGGCCTATAGATTATTCAATCTCCTATTTTTTCAGATAGGAATGTCAATGATTTTCTTAAAATCGACTTACTTTATCAAATTGAATTGTTTATTAGATTATTTTTTAAAATAAAAGCATAATTTTTTTAATATAAATTTCTAATTGTATTGAATACTTAGGGTGTGTTTGGTACTAAGGAAAATGTTTTCATGGAAAATGTTTTCCTAGAAAATGTTTTCCTGGAAAACAAGTTGATTTTTGACTTATTTTCTCATGTTTGGTTGGTGAGTAGAAAATATTTTCCGGAAAAGATTTTTAGTGTTTGATTTATGAATGATTTTTTTTTTTTGAGAAATATCTTTTATTTTTACTAGGGTAGAAAATATTTTTCAAAACAAACTTAATTTTTTTTTTTGGGAGATGGGGGCTGGTAAGG